ATTATCCAGTCGAGCCTCTCACCAGGGCAGGGTGACCTGGAGTAGCTGACACAGGAGGTGTGCAGGTGGGTTTGGAATGTCTCCAGAGACTGAGACTCCACTCCCTCCCTGGGCAGCTGCTCCAGTGCTCTGCCACCCTCCGTGGAAAGAAGTTCTTCCCCATGTTGAGGTAAAACTCATGTTTTAGTTTATGGCCATTGCTCCTTGTCGTGCACTGGGCACCACTGAAAAGAGCTGGACACCATCCTCTGACACAGTCCATACATGGATTTATATGAAGTATCAGTTTTGTTGTTCCTGTGAAGGATCTAACCTGCCTCCAGCCAGCCCCATCTCCTGTCTCTGTGGTTTTCCATCCTGATTTCACACCTTTACTTGTTACCTGTAAAATCTGAGATGTTGCTTCCATATAGAGTTCAAGGTTTTTTTTGGTTTTTTGTTACTTGTTTCTGAATAGTCACCAGTAATAGTGACTTGGAAGTTCGCCCCTTTTGTTTTTCATATGTATTAGTTTTAATGCAGTAAACTCTTGTAGAACATCCCTTATTAACTTTTCATTGGTTTCAGGATTTAGACTTGATGATCCCTGTGTGTTCCTTCCAACTCAGATTATTCCATGATTCTGGGATTTCAGCTGCCATGCTGAGAATGTGTTACATTTCATTTCACTTATCTTTAACTTGCTCAAATGGATTTAGAATGCTTTTGTCAGTTTTCTGGGCTTTGGAGAAGCCCATTATCCTAGACCTCAGGGGAAGGCCTCTTCCTGCCCCCAGCCACAGGAATCTGTGGATGGACCAGGAGCAGCTCACCCACTGTTGGCATGGCTGTGTTGAGGAGAGCAGAGGGCACATTTATTGCTAGGGCAGCAGATTCCTGTTTCCAGGACCTCATCCATGGGCAGGCAGGTTTAGCAGGCAGGTTTATCTTCCATCAATGCTGCTGGAATATTTTGACTTTCTGTCCTGTGTGGAATGATTCTGGATTGTGATATTTGCTCTGGTCTCCTTCTTCAGGATCCTTCCGCTGATCCGTCGCAACAGGAAGCAAAGCAGAGGTATAAATGAGACTATTGAATTTTGGCCTTGCATCTAATAATTTTTAACCATTTACTCTTTTTTCTTTTTTTTTTTTTAATATTTAATTTCTTTAGAATGTTGCCCCACATTTGTTTTGTTGCTGGGAAAACCACCAAGAAAGGGATTGAAATGGATCAAAGTTTGGATGCAGGTGTGGCTCCCTTGCATGACCATACTGCCTGAGCCCTGCTGGGTGGGAGGGCATGAGGAGAAAGCAGCAGCAGCTGATTTTTCCCGGGGACTTGTCTGAGTTCAGTAACCTCAAGAGCTGCAGTGATACAGTCGGGTGCTCTGGGGAAGCATCATCCCTCCCACTGTCACAGAATCCTTGGCTCCTCAGGGGTGCTAGGAGTTTGTGATCCAAGTCTTGAATGCTAGCAGAACTCCTCCCAAACTAGTACTTTTGGGTTGGGTTTGGCTGTTATTGCAGTGGGAAGAGCCTTTCCCAGTTGATTTGATTTTTCTGGGAGACCTAATCCAGTTAAAAAGTTGACACAAAATTATTTTTGTCGAAGCTCAGTGGGGGAAGCAGTGTTCAGTATTTGTGCTAATTTGGAAAATTGTAAACAAGTGTTTGAAGAGCTGACTTTGTACAGTCCAATTGTGTATCAACAAAAGTTTCATAAACTAAAGGTCCAGTTTTGCAGACACTTATAGCAAATATTTTAAATACATGGAGACTTAGTGAAATGTTCTAAATGAGCTTTGGTCTGCTTTTTGGAATTGCATGGACATTTCCTTGTGCCTGCTCTACCATTACTGCCTTGGGGTGAATTCACATGGATAAATGTAGGATCTAAAGGGTAGCACAGCTTTTTTCTCCTAAAATGTAATTATGAGCAGTGAGAAGGTGTAGGTATGAAACACCACCTTGATTTCTTGGAGGATGTTGCCAGCTATGTAACTTCAGCAATGGGAAATGGACATCCCCAGGACAGGAAATGCTGTAAATGTAAATGGAAGGTTTGAACTGACCTCAAGAAGCCACTTACACAAATCAAAAGTCATAGTTTGCCGTTCTTTCCATGTTATTTTAGGTGCTTGAAATCCCACATTTAATGTGTGGTTCGCTTTTCCTTACAGGGAAGCAGAGATAAGAAATACTATTTTAGCTCAAGTTCTTGATCAAGCAGCTCGTGCAAGATGTGAGTATCCAAGTAACTTCCTAATAAAAAATACTCATCCAAGTGACTCCTCAAAAGTGTGTTGTACAGAGGCCAGACTAGAAAAGTACTGCTGCTGCTGATAAGATAAAACTTGCAGCTTTTCAGCTGGCAATATCAGTGATTAGAAGGGAGAGGCTAATGAGTATCTAAATTATGTTAATGTTTTGGATTTTATTTTAATTAGTAGAAGGAGTTATATGGAGAGTCAAAGTTGTTTAATCAGAAGCAAATATTTAAAAGTAAGAAATATAACTGTCTTGTATCTGGCATAAATGAAAATGCCTTTTTCAATTTATTTCATGACCCTGGCATGAATAAGATTGTTTCCTAGGGACACTTCTCACTTTTTTGTTACTAGTGAGGGTATTGCAGAATGTTCTAAACACAAATGAACAGAGCCTGTTTTTGTTGCAGTAAGCAATTTAGCACTTGTGAAGCCAGACAAAGCAAAAGCGGTAGAGAATTATCTTATACAGATGGCAAGATTTGGACAGCTAGCTGGAAAGGTCAGTATATTTCCTAATTATTTCTCACCTATATTTGTTTCTAAACCAAATTCACTCTAAAAAAAGATGTTTATAATAGATGCAAGTTAAATTAGCTGTAAATAGCTCCTAAATTCCATCAAAAACCTTTTGTAAAAAAGGAAATTGTGATGCAGTTGTTTGATACTAAGCATCTTTCAGAGTGTATTTATCCACATTTTGTTTGACTTTCCTAGGTATCAGAACAAGGTTTGATAGAAATTCTTGAAAAAGTGAGTCAGCAAACAGAAAAGAAAACAACAGTGAAGGTGAGTTTTCTTTCTTAGATGTAATGTTGTATGAAGCAGAGCAGCAGAATTGCACGTGTGGGACCAGTTCAGGCTGGAACTTTGTCCTTCCCTGCTGAGCGCTGGGGCTCCATCAGAGCAGTCCTGCACAGCTCCTGGGGCCAGCGTGGTGTGGGGCAGCCTGGCCCAGCCCTGTCTGTGCCCTGACAGGGCCTGGGGCAGGTGTTCTGCCCAGGCAGTGCCTTCACTGCCACGGGCATGGACTGGGAAAGGCTTGTGCCAGCCTGCATTTACATGACCCTTCAATTTTCACTTTATGTATTTCATTTTAGTTCAACAGAAGGAAAGTGTTGGATTCGGACGAAGAGGATGATTATTAATACTACTGTAAGGCTGCCAAACAATAGCCTGGAAAAATGCTGTTAGCAGGCAGAATGCAAGATCTGAAAATGTTTACGCTTCTTGACTTTTTTTTATTATTATAATAAGGCCAACAAATAACTTGTAAAATAAATCTGAGAAGGGGGATTTTATAACTTAAAGTTTTGTAGTATAAGAGGCCTGAGCAGTGTGGGGTTCCCCGTGGCTTCATTAGCATGAATGTTTTGTTGCCCTTTCCTCACTGTAAGCTCTGCTTTCAGCCACTGCACACACTTAACTTGCTGTTATTGGAGATTGCAAGCACAGGAGCCAAGTGAGACAGGGAACAGCCACTCAGAATTAAAGTCTGTCCAGACTCTGTCACAGAAGTGTTAGAAAGGAGATTCCCTGAGCCCCTGAAGGATGCCTGTCCAGCCAGTCACCGGCTCTCAAGTCCTTACTGGAAATTTAAAAATGAAGGTATCTAAATAGAGTTTGGATCAGGGGATTCCTATCAGGCAGTCTGTGTAAAGATATGTTACCAGCAAACAGCTGAACTGTTCCCCTGTGAGTTCCTGGGCTTTCAAACAAAGCAAGTTAACTGTGTCATACACAGCACTGTTCAGACACTTGGCATTGTGTATTCTTACAACTACCTCCACTTTTATCCAAAGGCTGGAGTGTTTCTTACCTGGAAGAAAAAGACAGACCATTTCCCTAAACTCTGCAACTCCTGCATGCATAAAGTAAAACTGAACTTGTGCTGTACATTTATTCAAGAATATGGTTATGGAAATCAGTAGGATAAATACTGTAATGTGCTGACAAATTCTCCCACCACAACCCCCTTATCTGACATAATTTAACAGGATCGTGTATGATTCTAACTGCAGTGTTTTTTGGAACAGAATAAACTTGTTTTAAGTGAGCACTAGTGGGTGTGTTTTTCATCTTGTCTGAATGTAGGTAAAAATATTAAACAGTTGTTATTTTTGTTTCCTTTGGTTTAGACTGTGCATTTTGCTTCTCTGTGTTTGTAATTAGGATGCCTTAGCTTTAGTGATATCCTGAGTGTGCCAAATTTCTTCAGATTTACCACCCTTACTGAGTTTGAAGCCAAAGTTTGGTGAACTGACTTTTCTTATCTATATGGTTGAAAAATCTTAAGAATAATTTAGTTAAATGCATGCTACAATAAAACACAAGCAGAATTCTCACTCTGTAATTTGGAAATCAGATCTTAATATCTGGATTATTCTTGCTACAGGTAAGGACCAATTACTTGGGGTTATCTTTATAGTGTCACAAGAAGGAAAAACCTGTTTTACCTCTTTCCTTTTTTTGTCTTTTGACTTGTAGTAACTGAACATCCTTTTATTTATAATGTGAATGTAGACCTAGAAAAGGAGGTAATGTAAAGATGCTCAGTTTCATTAACAGTTCTATTTTATACACCTCTGTGTATAAATCTGAAACCACATAACCTAATAGTTATCTGTAAATGTAGGAGGAAGGAAAGTCCAAGAGTAAACACAAGGTAAAGTCTCCAAATGCCTACAAAACCAAACAAGAAAATCTGTAATAGACTCAATGCTTGGACAAAAGCACTTAAAGAAAACAGCATTTTCAAGAGTTCTTTTACTCGTTTTTTCTTTCCATCATTTGGCACAAATCCAAGGCACATCAGAAAATCAGATGAACTCATAAATTATTAGAAAAATAAACACATTACCCTCAAATCCAAATGCCATTTGACATTTTACTTCTTAGATTAAAAAGTTATCTGAAAAACCCATCACTCTTATCTTCCGGCTTTGTATTTTGCCAGCTAGTTTACTAATACCACAGTTAAAAGAAAGAGAATTATCTATACAAATAGTTCATGAAATAAAATGCAAGGTGCATGTGATGAGCCAAGAATAAAAAAATTCTGCACTGAAAAACCTGGCTTGTGCTATTTACAGCTTGTCCTCCTATAACCAAACAGTAGAAACTGAACTTCCAAACTAAGCAGCCACTTGGTAGTTCCCTGTGAGCTTCCAGTTCTTCAGTGATCACCCCTGGGAATGGGGCAGGATTTGGCCTATTCCAGCCAGTGCTCACTGATGTGAGAAGTACCTTTCATAGTGGGAATTTCACCTTTTTAATAGCAGTCCAGAGCAGGCTCTGAAGCTGTTTTGTCTGTGGATGTTGCCCGGGATCAGAATCATGAATACTTGTGCATTTTTGCATTACTTCCTTTAGAGGAGGGAAAAAGCAACTCAAATGCATGCTACAATAAAACACAAGCAAGCACCTTGTGCTTACTTCTGCTTTTTTGTTAGGCTGTGAACAGCAAGTCCAAAGTTTAGGTTTGTCAAGAGCTCCGCACTTTTTCCCCAGTATATTGGCTCCTCTGTAAGAACGTGATGTTGCAGCTCCAGTACAGGGGAGCATTGCTGAGATATTAGCAAGGATTGCATCCCTTCACATTAGTAATGCAGATGTTAAGGACTATTGTTTGTCCAGCTACTGAAATATACAGAAATATATACTATAATGGTTTGTAATGTTACAATAAAAATAGAGACATTTCAATTACCTCTGGCAATAAATACCTTGTTATCCAATATATCTTTTTATATATATAAATATATTTATATTTAATTCTCAATGTAGTGATAAAAACTGAAAATGCAAAAATTATTCAAAGACTTTTAAAACAAAGTGGGTGGCTGAAAAATACAATACAGGGTTTCATTTGGTTTACTGTTACATAGAACTTTTTAATAAGTGCTGAATAGAATAGGAAAGTAATTTTGCTGTCTTCATCTCCCTTACATCCCTGTTAGTGAGATCAGTAATGATCTGGCTGTGTGGTCACCTCCTGCACGAACAGAGGAGTTGGGCCCCAGGGTGCCAGAACATTCCAGCTGTGCTGCAGAGCCTGTGCCTGCCCTGAACTGGGTGTGTGACATCTGAGCGCTGCTGAAATTCAGAGCACCGACCTCAGCTTCGGCCTTCCGCGCCGTGCCAGTCCCGGGAGCGCGGCACGCCGGGCCCGGCCGGGCTGCGGGAGCATCCCTCATTGCCCGGGCTGCGGGAGCATCCCTCATTGCCCGGGCTGCAGGAGCCTCCCTCCCTGCCCGGGCTGCAGGAGCCTCCCTCATTGCCCGGGCTGCGGGAGCCTCCCTCCTTGCCCGGGCTGCGGGAGCCTCCCTCGCTGCCCGGGCTGCGGGAGCCTCCCTCCCTGCCCGGGCTGCGGGAGCATCCCTCCCTGCCCGGGCTGCGGGAGCATCCCTCGCTGCCCGGGCTGCGGGAGCCTCCCTCGCTGCCCGGGCTGCGGGAGCATCCCTCCCTGCCCGGGCTGCGGGAGCCTCCCTCTCTGCCCGGGCTGCAGGAGCCTCCCTCGCTGCCCGGGCTGCGGGAGCATCCCTCACTGCCCGGGCTGCGGGAGCCTCCCTCGCTGCCCGGGCTGCAGGAGCCTCCCTCCTTGCCCGGGCTGCGGGAGCCTCCCTCGCTGCCCGGGCTGCGGGAGCCTCCCTCACTGCCCGGGCTGCGGGAGCATCCCTCCCTGCCCGGGCTGCGGGAGCATCCCTCGCTGCCCTGTGCTGGCAGCGGCACGGTGACCGTGTGTCTGCGCTGCGTTAACCTGCTCCTGTGAGGAGCCGCCGTGCCGTCATCATCTTCCACAAACTCACCGCTGCACCCTGAGACAGGCACCTCACCTGTGCTCTGCTCCAGCATGCCAACCGATTTTAGTTTGCTTTTATCAAAGCTTTTAATAGCCATCTGTGAGGGGAGAGAAATGGTATGTTAAAAGCATTGTCTGTTATATTATATATCTCTTCATTAAGAAGGAAAATTAATATATTATTTCTTGAACATTATTATCACATGAATTTCATGACACTGAGAACACAGTCAAGATTAGCATACTTTGTAAGAGAGTAATTATATTTGGGCTACATATGAGAAAACAAGAAGCCAGCCTGCCCCAGGCTACACACACATCAGTACCAGACCTGAGAACAACAGACATTCCGAAAACTTATTTTCACCTCACTATCCCAGCAGCATCCCAACTCTAGTTCTAAACACCGTTTGTAGTGCAAGGCTCAATGCACTTGAAATTAACAGCCATTTCTTTTTACTATTAAGAAAAGTGGAAGTAGTAACAGACAGGGTCACCCAGGGATTGCTGAAGGCAAAGGCAGTTTTCCCTGCTTCCAGAGGTCACCTGTCAGGGAAGAGACACCCACCCTCCCCACCCCTTAGTTCCTCTTTCTCGTTCTTCCAAATATTCGTATCTTCCATTTCCACACCTGCTCCTGTTTCTGCTGTACAGAGTGGGTGCCTGGCCTGGATTACTGGCCACTCTGCAAATATTAAAATAACCAGAAGAAATAAAGATAATGCAAGCATGCTAATGACAGATCTAAGACAGGAACGAAAGGAGAAAGTAGCTTTTTTACTGAAATAATGGCAACAATCTCTAAAAAGCTGCAGACAGAGGTTATTTAAATCCACATTTAAATCCACTAACAATTCAGAGCTGTATGGACTCATGAATTAGTTCAGCCACAGCTGTATGAACTCACAACCACAGAACAGGGCTGGAGTGCTCTGTATCAGGGTCACATACTAGTTTTCTGACACCTGTGTACTGAAATGACATACTGCCTTCTGTGATCCACAGTTATAAAATGTAAATCCCAAGTTATATAGTGAAATATTATCATTTAGAAAGAATTATTAAAATATTACAGCTTTATAGAATTAATATTCTCAAGGCTTTTGGCAAATAGTCTTCTAAGGGCTGTAGGAAAAGAAGAGTATCTCATTTTCCAGAAGGACATGAGCTGCAGAGTCTGCATTTCCAAAGCTGTGCCAGATGGGCAGCTGCTGGACTAACCTGGTGCAAACTGTTTCGTTTCGGACAGATCATTTTTCTCTTGATTCAGTGTTCTGAAATGGCCCAGCAGAAGATGCAATGAGAGTCAAAGCCAGTGTAAAGGAGGCAGAACGAGCACAAGCTCTGGGGAAGGCAGCATCCAGCAGCTGGTGTGGGTGGGTGTCACTGCACCCCAAGCAGAGGTGAATCTATTACGTACATCTCTGTCACAGCTGACAGTGCAACATGCAGTTTGCTGTCACTCTTGCAAACAGCCTCCTCTTACAAGCAGGCTTAAAGCAAACTCTAATTTCAATCTACTGAAAAATGTCTCTCTTGCCAGAGCAAGCTACAGCTCCAAGACGCTGCAGAGTTTTTCAGTTCTAGGTTTTGCTGGACAGGACACAGAAAACAAGACAAATTTTCTCTTCAGCCTGCAGTAAGACGCTTAAGAAATTGAAAAGAATGAAGTGTTCAAGAGGTGTCATAGAAGCACCACTGAAGTTTGAACAATGATGAAACGAGCAATTTGGCAAACAGGTCAGAACTTGTGTGATTCAATTACCATCACCAGTAAACTTTCTCTGTACCAGAGATAAAAAAACATGTACCCAGCATAATAGCAGAACAACAAACATAACTGCTGTAATATAAGAAAAATCTGAGCAAGTATTTCCACTTACCTGGTGCAGTAAATGACAGTCAAAATTAGGGACACTTTTATCTCTTGTTATTGTTCTCCGTAAGTGTTTTTCTCTGAAAAAGATTTTAAGAAATCAAAGAAATTAAAATGTCTTCACATAAGCCTTTTATAAAGGACTCTCTCTGAGAAGCTCCACAAGGTGGAACCGTCTCACCAGAGACAGGCCTCTCCCTGACAACACCTTCCCAGAATTGCAGCCTATTTGTATTCCCTGTATTTTACTATGGAATATACATTAGGGCTTAAAAAGATATTGAGCAAAACCCAAGCAATGAGTGAACACCACTACAGTATATTTAAGCAGTCTGATTCTGCAATGCTTAACTGATGGTACACAAGTATTAGTGCAATCCCAGTTTTAGATACATTTTCCCTCCCTCCCCACCCCAGTGAGCTTGTCATGCCCAGAACATCTGCCTGGGGATGTGACAATGCCAGCCCTGCAGGATTAACACCCACTGGCACACCACCATGTCATGGGTAACCACCCCAGACCCATCTTGGGACTTAGTTAGCAGCTGCACTTCGCCTTTGCTTATGGGAAAAAACAAACACACTCTGAGCAGGCTTCTCTGCTTACTTGTTAAATCTGTTAATTGATTGGACCAGTTGAAGTTGTCTGCTTATGGGATCATCGGCTTCCTTACAGGGCTTAGGGTGCACTGGGGGTTTAAAAGAACAGGCAGCTAAAATTACAACTGGGTCTCACTTAGGAATTAAAAAACACAGTTGTGATTTTAAATTGAACATAAAACTGTAACAGTGCTAACTTGAATTAGAGTGGTGATTTGTCTTTTGGAATTTTAAAAACTTTTAAGTTGCAGAAGTAACCATTCTTCCTCAGATTATTACAACTGGCCAAGCTTCTGAAAAGACTATAATTCTGGACTTTGAGGCCCCGAATTCCAGTTTTTACCAACCTGAATTAAAACAGAGATGCTAAACCACCTCTTCATTAGTATTATTCACTCATATCTTCTATTGCTCTTTTAGAACTATTCAAAATATTTGGAAGAACTATTCTCAATTTTAGGTGTCAGCACACTGTGATTAATTGTGATTTTCTATTAACCAGACATTCACAATCTTTCTGAGGGAAGGAAGCAAGAGTTACTTTGAAAACTCATGGGTGCTGAAATGGACACTCCTGCTCCTCATCTTCCCTGATTCCTTCTTTGCAGCCTCCCTGTTTTCTTTCTACAGTCCTGGTGGCATTGTGTCCTTTGCTGAGCTGTCCAGCCCAGGGGACACAGCTTTTCTTACATCCCCAGGGTAGTGAACTTGAAAATTCACCTGAAAAACTTCTGAGCCAGCATAATGGGAGCAGTGGATAAGGCAGATCAGAAGCTGAGGGTGAGAGGTAAGGAGGAATCTGTGGTCCTTAAGCTCCATCTCAGGGGCTGCTTAGGCACATTAAGATAGGGCCATGTGTCAAATCCTTTAAGGAGTGAAATAACTTTGCATCATTGAATATAACATTATTGCTATTAAATAGGGGAAGGTCAGAGTTAGCACTGCAAGATAAAAGGTATCAAAAGGATGGTTACTCATCCTTCCCCAGGCACTGGGGCCCTGCTGCAGCCCAGCTGTGCTGGCACTGCACCTCGTGGCCACACTGTGCCACCTCCTGCCGCTTGCTCAAAGTCCTCTGCAGACTGTGCTGGAAGGTTCACAGTCACCGCTGTAGCTCTCATTTCTGTCCCAAAACATGAGACAGTAACTAATGAAGAGTCATTCCCTGACCTGTTTTAGGGCAGTATAAATGACACACAAAAGTCATTTAAATCTATTTTGCTTTTCACTGAAATGCACAGTTCCTACATGGCTAATTATATAATCTCAATTGTGGTGTGTTTTTACCTTTAAATGTTTTTATAGGCAAAACTCATACATGTACCCCAAAGTAGGTGAAAACTAAGTTTGAAGCACTGGCATGAGTAGAATACAAAGTCTGCTGCATTTATTACAGTATTTTAGGTGTTACCTATCATAAATATGAAAAACAATTGACTGTTCTATTATTATATGTATAGCAATTACATAAAATGTTTTATACAGTCACCCATGAATTCTTAAATATCTTTTTATTCATACCAATGAAAATATCACAGGTACCTTTTTTCCTTATCTTGCCAGTAATGTGCTGTTCACTCTCCTTCTCTCCCTCTGCTGATGTGGGGACACAGCTTGGTGCTGCTTCCAGCAACTTCATGATGTTTGAGTTCTTGATTTTAAGAGTTTACATTTTCACCATTATTAAAGAAAAAGAAAAACAACAGTACAATTTAGTATTCAGTCTGTGCAGAGTATGTTAATAATGCTTGTATGAATCAATACAAACATATAAAATAACTCATAAAAACAAACTTGAAATTCTATCATTCTGAGTAGGGACAAAATCAGTGCTCCACAAAATACACTTTAAAGCAGTGATGATGTTGGAGTCCTGATCTCTTATTTTAAGCTGTATTACTTATGGGTAAGCCAATTTCAGTTTAAATGGTAACATCCATACCAAAATTGATTCAGTACAGAATTTTGTGGTCATTAAGCTACATCTCAGAGGCCATTTAAGCACATTAAGATAGGAGTTATGTGTCAAATCCTTTAAACAGTGAAATAATTCTGTATCATTTAATATTACATATAATGTTATTGCTATTAATAAAGAGGAAGGTCAGAGTGATCTATTGCAAGATAAAAGGAATCAAAAGGCCTGCAGGGCAGAAGATGGTGGGTGAGACAAGGAACGTTGCTACCAGTGCAAGTGATCAGTGCAACGTGTTCATTTGTCTACATCCAACATTGCTTCTGCTCCCTCTGCCATTATAAAGATTTTAACATTAATTTTATCCAGCTCTGTGCTTCCACTCTTTCTAGACTCATCCTTTTAGTCTAGGATAACTTATTCTAGAAACTCAGCCCGTTTTCCCAGGCCACCAGAATCATGGTTAGGATGCAGCAGGAACAGGCACCCCGGCGTTTCTGTGCCCCCAGGAGCTGGCTGCAGCACTCACGGGCTCGGCGCAGTCTGCAGGGGTGCAGGCGCAGGCTGCAGGGGTGCAGGCGCAGGCTGCAGGGGTGCAGGTGCAGTCTGCAGGGGTGCAGGCGCAGGCTGCAGGGGTGCAGGCGCAGGCTGCAGGGGTGCAGGCGCAGGCTGCAGGGGTGCAGCCGCGCTCGTTGCGCAGGTGCCGCAGGGCCCCGTGCTGCAGCAGCAATGCCACCAGCGCCTCGCTCCCGCCTGCCGCGGCCTCGTGCAGGGCTGTGCTGCCCTCGGCGTTGGAGAGGTTCACGGAGGCTCCGTGCTGCACAAAGGGAAACCACAGTGAGAAAGGAGCAGGGCAGGGCAGCAGCCCCAGAGCTGCACACGGCCAGGGGCAGCTGCACCACCTGAGCCACAAGAACCCACCCGGCCACGTTGTTGCCCCATCTCATTTCGGTTTTGCATATATCTGTTACATATTCCAAGCTTTAGAGAAACCCCCAACCTTATGTGATAGAATCCCAGGCAAGAAAGCCTGCACCTGCCACATAAAAGTTCCATAAAAACAGCTACCTGTACAATAGTGAGGTAATATTTATCTAATTAACATCTGTGAAGGGATGGGATTGAAAGGAATAAGTTTAGAAAAACTCCTATTTCTTTCCCCAAGTATTTTTGACAGAGGAATGCATAACTAAAAATACTGATCCTGAGTACTGGATAAATACAGATATCACATGAGAAATACCAGCAAAACACTCTGTCTTCAGTGATCTTACCTGCAACAACAGAGCAGCAGTCTCATAGTGACCGTTCAAGCATGCATAAATTAAGGGAGTATTTCCATATACATCCTTTTTATTTAGTTTAGCATTGTAATCCATCAGACACTGTACCACCTATTGAAAGAAGTAACAACTTTACTCTTCCTGAGTAGGAGTACTGAGTTACTGAGTATGACACTAATTTTCATACTTTAACACCCACTTTTAAAAAAGAAAAATTTAAACAACTACAAAAAAGGCCAGAAAATAAAACTCAAGGTGTATGAAAAATAAATATAACCAGAACTTAACAAAACAAAACCACCACAGCAGCAGCATCCTTTTCCAAAGTCATCACAACACTTGGAAGGAGTTCTTTATACTGTAATTACCCCATGAACTAATCTACAACTATCCCATGAATTAACCTACAACTCTGAGTTGTATTCCTTGCTTGCCTTGTGCCTTTTCAAAATTCTCTTTTTTTTTCCCTCCTGAAATCTTCAGCTCCTTATTTTTAAAATCCTAATTTTCTGCTTTTCTGCATCTTTCCATTTGCCTTTTTGCCCCTGCTTTTTCATATTTGTTATTTTCCTGTCTCATTTACTCTCCCTTCTATATTGACACCCTCTTCCCATGGGCTTATGCTTCTCCTTCACTGCTTTTACTTCCCTGACTCGATGTGAGGGATGAGTAATCTGCTGCCTCAAAGCTGCACTCCATACATGATCTATTTAAGAAGTTGAAAATACAGTAACTATTCAGTACTGTGGCTACTGAAGATACCAAGACACAAACATAACCCAGAGAAGGTACAGAGGAACAAACACAGAAGATTCAGCTGCACAAGGGATGTTTAAAGCATTTGAAATACAACAGAAGGTTTTTGAATCATGTGCATTAAACCAGTATTTTAAGTCATATATGGTTATATACATAAGTCATATATGTTTATATAAGTCATATATGCTTTTATAAAGAAAAGGTGTCTACTGAAATGATTTCAGCTCAAAGTTCCCCTTTCCATCTGGAGATTTAGACACCAAAAACAAAAGCCAGAACCACCAAACTCATTTTCTCTGCTCCTGGTTGCTGATTTCGCCAGGCAGCTTTGGGTGGGTGGCAGGTGGCAGGGAGGTCTGTGCCAGGCAGGGTTACCTGGGCGTGTCCCCTCTGGCAGGCCAGGTGCAGGGGAGCTGCCAGCTGCGAGTTCCTGGCGCTGGCCCTGGCGCCGTGGCGCAGCAGCAGCGACACCAGCTCACTGTGCCCGTGCAGAGCAGCCATGTGCAGCGGCGTGAAACCCTCCTGGTTTGAAACATTCACCCCCAGCCCGTTGGCACAGATCTTGGAAAACTTCTGTTGAGGAAAACACACAATAAAACTATAATCATGCTTTGTTTTAATTCATTAAATAGCCAAATACCTGCTAGAGTTTGTATAAAATGGGCAGATGGGCATTACAAGAAATTCTGCTAGAGTCTAATTTGAGGCCTTCAGAAAAAGCCAGTAAAGCAGAGCAGTTTGTTGGTATTTTTCAACAGTAAATTAATTTTATTGTTATCCCTTTTCTTCCAACGTGATAACTTCATGGAGAGCAATCCTAGGCAAAGTATTCATGATATTAAAAAGCGGCTAAAGCAGCACAGGTTGAGACATAAGTAAAACTGAAAGTTTTTATACAGCTGTTAGGATGCTCATACTGGATATGAGGCAGTGTTAGTGAGTTACTTTCATTTATACAGATATTTATGCTCTTTGAGACAGACATTAAACACCTCTTAATGCTACATGAAGCTTGGGGTAATAAGGATACAAACTAAAATTAATTTAATTCACCTGGAAGCCAGAGTAGCCCAGAAAGAAGACTCCCTGGGGGAATCAGGCTAAGGAAAGCACCCGGAGGACAGTTTACCCAGCTGTACAGAACATCCTCTTTCACTCCTCTTGCAAACTGTGCCTGCATGACATTTACAGCGGTGCACAACCTTTCATGCTGTGCTTTCACATGTGCCTGCCTAACACAGGGGTTAGGATTAACTAACAAGTTCCTTCTTCTCATTCAGCAGACAAGTAAATTCCACAGCAGATGCCATTCCCCTCCCCATCAGCAATAAAAAAGGAGCTTTATGGATGCTGGCATCTTTAGCACCTGATCTCTGTCCTGAGGGCACAGGGACACCCCTTACCAGAGAACAAAGCACAGTGTAAACGTGAAGCATTCCAGGACAACAGCACACTCTAAGCCTGCACAAAATAAACCTGTGGTGGCAGTGGGGAATTCAGAAGTTAAACCATCTCACAGTGCTGTTAACCCCAAAGCAGCCAATAAACTGAAAATTTGTACTTAGGTTTATTTTGCAATGACTTATCCAGTCATGTACCCCTTCAGACACCTCCTGGAAGGCAAGTTATAGAATTTCTATTTCCAAAAAGCTGGGATTGTTCCTTATGTAAAACAACAACAACAAAAAAACCCAAACCAGAAAGAACCACATACACACACACACACACACACAAAAAAAAAATCCCCAGAAAAACCCAACCAAAAAACAACAAACCAAAAAAAAACATAGAAAGAGTGCATTGTAAAGCCTTGTTCTATTCTACAGTGTGGTAATTTAGGGGGAAGGAAATCTTAGCAACTGAAAAGAAAGCCTTTGTATTTATATGAGATCTCTGAAGAGGCTTTAAGATATGGCTTGTAGAAAAGATGCCATGCAATTAAAAAAAAGACTTTATCAGCATTACACGGATTCTGGGATTAGCAGGTATTCCTTGCTGAACTGATTACTAACAGGTAAGTAGATATGCTGTGCCAGTAGCAGTGTACACTAAAGAGAATCAGAGGCTTAGAAAAAAATGTTTATTCAAAGTGGCCCAAACCTTACTGACAGCACTCCACATGACCTAAAAGCACACTGTGACTCTTTCTCAATCCATTAGACATTGTGCAAGTCCATGAACACCGTTCCTGTATCCAAAATGTTCAATTTTGGAAATCCAATTCCATTAAAAAAATAACGATTTCATACTCTCAGATAAAGTGTGAAAATCTGTATATAGTTAATTTATTTTTAGACAGAGAAACAGACATGCTGGGCAATATGAATACTATTTCCCTGGAGCTAATACATTACAAGCATATAAATTACTCTTTTTACAGAATGAATATTCCAACCTTTTGTGCTGGCCCACATTTTGAGCACTGGCATAACGGATGGCAGAATTCTGGTTTTAATGTACTGGCTGTGTCATCCTCATCTTCCAAGTCTTCTTCCACCCATTCCAAGAGATAACGGACCTGGCATAAAAAGCAATTCCTTCTTTATAAAGTCCAACAGTTCCCTGTCCTAACAGATGTGCACACGTAGACAAGTCAGAATTGACAAACACACACTCGTGAGTCTCTCAGGGGGAGCACACAGCTACCTCCTGCCATCAGCTGCCCACAGGCCAAATTAAAAAATCAAGTGTTATTGTTGACAAAGCAGCTAAGAAGTTCTCCAAGTACAGTGAAGCGAATTACAAATGACTTCCTGCTGCCTAATCACAACTGCAGTGCTCACCCACTCCCAAACACTCCACATCCTTTTAGCTCAGATGATTTGTGCTAGCTCATATCAATGTGAATTCTGCTTCATCTTTTGATTTAAAGAACATAAGGAACGACAAGGATGCCAACATTTAACTGATACCCAAAACTTTGCAGGGGCACTGACTTTCCTTAGGCCTCTCACTTAGGAGTCAGACAGTTTCACTTTTTCCTCAATGTTCAATGCCTCATTTTTGAGAGAGAGGCCCTTTAGTGAAATCTTAGAGCTCAGGGCATTTATGTGCAACCTGCAAACAGTGATGCTTAGGGCATTTACATTTTACATTACATTCAACAAAATAAAAGCTGTTTAAGCAGTACATTTTTACCTTGAAATTCATTAATCTACATCTCACTAAAGACATTTTAGAATTCGCAGTGATTGCATTAAGTCTCCATTACTACTGGACCAAGGCAAGAGCTCTACAGCTGCTAGTCCAAGGGAATGGGGACAGTGGGATTTCTGAGACATCCCTCCCACTCTGTTTACCCTCACACTTGTCACAGGTTCTGCTCCTCACCACTGAGCTCTGGGAAAACAACACATCCACGTCCTAGCCACTAAAACACATGCAGCTACAACAAATCCTAGAAGCCAGGAAGGGCCCTATACCTGATTCTGAATTATAACATATTTGAGCCTGAAAAGGGATGTTTTTTTACAGAATATTGCTTTCCCTGCAAACTCCATGTTGTTCTCTGCAGTAAAGGAAATCTCTCAAGCCTGCCTGTTTATAGAAGGCCAGCTCAGCAAAGCTTTACTACTTGCTACATTTGTACATGTCTAAAATAAGCAGAACTGTCACTTCATTTCCCCCTTTCCTTGGAGACTCTTACAATTGATTTCCTCCTCTTCCTGGGGCAGCCCAATCCTGCTGCTTGCATTATCCAGTGCACAGCTCCCAACATAGTGATACCAGTGTCTCCCAGAAACCTGAACACACTACTCCAGTGCCCACCTCTTTATGATTACACTGCAGCAGCCATTCTTCTTGGTTTAAAGGTATTTTTGGTCAAAATACTAACTGTACTTTCAAGCAGACTCACACTGAACCACCTCAGGAGATTGCCCAGTCTCATTTGCCAGGTAATTTGTCACCTGAAAAGTTCTTTACACTGCTGGGTTACTTTGGAATACTCAGCTGATCACCCTGGGTCTCTGTTCCCTCACTCCAACCTTTCAGCTGCTCCACAGCACTAATTTCAGACAAGAGATTTGCTTTTTTTCTGCGGTAGATTTGCACATATCCTTCCCACTGAACAGGCTGGATACAAGGAAAGCTCCAAATCCAGTAGCAATGCTGAGACAACACCAATGACACAATAATGTTTCTTTTTCTTAAGTCTTCCAGTTTCACAGCACTTTTTTAATGCCTCCTCTTGCAAAGCTCAGTTGGCTGTCACAGCAAACATCTACAGCAGCCCTAATGACCAGGCTGCTGTGGCTGTTCCTATGGAGACAGACCTCAGGCTGTCAGAACAAGATCAGAGTTTTTAAAATACTTGTGCTTTTTTAATAGACATGCAAGCTGTAACCTTTGCCATCCAGCTGGATGATTCTCCTTGTATGAACAGCTTCACATGAACTTCAGTAATGAGGAAAGTAAAGCCACAAAAGAGAAGGTGATTCTGTCATCTGAATGCACAGACTAGATTTCTATATGCTTTTCATTGCTGGTATCTATTGAGCGGTGCTAGATACTGATTTCCCAGCAAATTATAGCACTGTACTTAATTTTCTTGATGAAGTTTAGATTTTCACAAAGTGGGTGAAAAGTTAACTGCAATACATGTACATTTACTACTGACCAGGAAAATGGAAAATATCACTATTGTATATGTTACTATTTCTTGAAATTACTTAAGGGCTGGCTTAGAAATAATTACTTAAAGTCACATTGTAAACTAGGACAATGATATCTACTCAACAACGGAACAGTTCTTTGCTCTATCAGTTAATAAATTGTTTGTATCATCTCAGTGGAATAAAACAGAAGAGAAACAGAATTAACGTGGCACATATTTTGCAACATGGGTTTTCTATCTTCTGATGACTCTGTGAGGCTTCATTGGCATTTGTAACTCCTGGTACAAACCAACCCAAAAAGATTTTTCAGAACATGCACCCAATGGAGCAAACCTGCATCCTCACACAGCTTTATTGTCTTGTTCTGTGACCTACAATAAAATCAAGAAATCTACAACCTTACACACATTTCCAAAAGCAAAACTCCTAAAGACTCCTGTGTCATCTTCAATGTTTCAGTAGAATGACATTGGAAGTATCTTATTTTTTAAGGAATAAAGGCAATAATAAATTAAAGAAGAAAAGAACAATAATAAATAAGACAGGTGGTACCACAAATTATAGATCATCACCTCTGAAACTGGCAATATTATCTCATTAGGTGTCCATTTGAAGTAAAATCCAACCTACACATTGCTATGTGCCCCACAAATAGCATCTTTGTGCTGACTAGTGTCACCTGAATTTCCTCTTTACATGAGATTATTATACAAAACATTCTCCAACTTGACACTGTTTACAGATAACTTCCTCAATTTGAATAAGATAAAAAGGAATTCAGTAATGTTCAACAGCCACATTAACACTCACCATTTCCAGATCTCCATCAGCAACTGCTCTCAGGAGTTTTTCTACCTATATATGAAGAAAATTATTTATTTGCTTTGTTAGTATTAAGCAGAACACAGAAAATCCTGTGTCCTTTGCTAACTTCCTAAGCTCATGCTGTAGGATTACTGCTGGCCCATTTCATATTTATTGATAAAGTTTTAAAGGAAAAACCTTCTTCCTTTATGAAACAGAGAATCTGCACAAGGTCTGTGGCCATTTGATGATCTCTGACTTGTTTAGTTAAACAGTATTTATCTAAATCGAGGATATGTGGCCTACCTATAAACAAAGCCATGCAAGCTGATATATATTATTATGCTGCTCCAGCAGGAGCTGCCCTGTGCATTTCTGTGTGAACCTAATGTTAAAAATCCCTGCTCAAGGCAAATTCCTTCCCTAATACACACTAACACTGGTTGGGCTCTTGCTGAGCTATGCTACGCTAATTATCCAGCACACAGCTCCAAACATATTGATACCAGTGTCTCCCAAAAACCTGAACACACTACTCCTGTGCCCATCTCTTCATAATTCCAGTGTACAGTATAATTACAGGAACACAAAACTATTGAGAAACAACAGTTTAAGATGAAAAAGATGCTTTCCAATTGTTACTTTTACATCTGCAGATAACTGGTTTAATCCTGTGTTAAAACCCAAACATTTACAAATCTAACTTGACCGCAAGTATGAAATTCGTTTTCTTACTTAAAATCTGGGAATATATAAATACCAAAGGGTGTGCATTAGGACAAGCAGCAGCATTAGCCCATTTTAGTGTAAGGTGAGTGGGACCCATAAGCCCTGATAATTTCTTTCCAAAAATAACAACTTTCTTAAGTACTTTCTTTAGTACTTTCTTAAAGCACTAAAAGCTGCCTCAGGCCCCAGCAGTGGTACATTTGTTATGCAGCTTATAGATAATTTATTAGGAGTACTTAGGGCAAAATGTCTGCTCCATGCATTTCCCCATATTTTCAGTTTGTTTCCTCACTCTTCCATGGAAAAGAACCTTCTTTTAAATGTAAAACTAGAATAAACAAATCTATTACAATTCACCTGCATATCCAGTTTTTCAGGTACTGAAGAGAAACTGTGCTTGGAGATATTAGTTCCAACAGAGCAAGTCCCAAATTTACAATCCTGGCTCTTTCACTCTCTTTTCTAAGTCATAATAAACAAGCCACTATTGACTGGCTCACTTAAGAGTTTAATTCAGTATTGATTAATCAAGGTCTGAGTGGATCCCCTTAATCCAAGATGAAAACCTTGAAATCTGGAAAACTGACTGTATCAGTTTCCCATTATTTCCAGTGGTGTTTCCTTCCTAGAGCTCTCTCAGTACCAGGCTCTTGCCTCTTTGAGCAGGGAGCCCAGGTGAAACTTGGCAAACAGAAATCAACTAAAGCTGGATTACAGAGAAGGTCATTAACCCCAAGGAACTCAGGTGTAAGCAGTTTGTAATCTTTTTCCCTGGTTTGAACTACAGTCTTAGTAGCTGGGTGTGATAAATTTATTCCTTCAAAGAAAAAATAAATCCTCAGTCTACAAGGAGAACTTATTTAGAGAGCTTAACTCTGTAGAAACAGGGAGGTACAGCCCTACACTGAGCTCTCCTAGAGCAACTCAAGTGTGAAATCATATTGTCCACTCAAAATTTGCATCTTTGTGTTTCTTCGGTGTTTTTAGAGAACTGAAACTTCTAGCAAGAGAACAATCTTTTAATACCAGGAAAAGGAATAAGTTTAATGTAGTGGTGATACTGAGAGAAACACATACTTAGGGAGGTCAATTTGGAAAAAAAAATTAATAGGTAGGCTAGGAAAAATAAAAAGAATCATCAGAATGAGTGGTGATATGACAGTCTTGGGAAAGGGCAACAAAGTGTGGATCTGAAATCCCACAGGAAAAAATTCAGAGGATGCCATCTGGTGTGGGCAGAGTAAAATCAGCAAACACATACATGCAAGATATTTAATATATAGTCTGTACTTCTTCACTTGTTACAAATGGATTCCCATGCCTATTTGAAAGCATGTCTTAACATTCCAGTTTGTTGTTTGCCAGCATGCCTGTACTAGTCTCTTTTCCCTGACAGATTTTCTAAGCTAACAGTGGCACTTGATTCCTGGATGGGACAGCCAGGTCCTTGGGGCACTGTACTTTGGTAAACCTCAACAAATTCTCAAATTATGCAGTTAACTTCAATAATATGAACAACTACTTCAGAGAGGTGTCAATTTTCCCCCAGAAATAACCAACAGAGCACTTGAAACCACACAAAAATAAGTACTGAGATAACAAGCCTCAGAGGACAGAAGTTACCATTTTCCAAATCAGACAGAAGGCTATTCCTGAAGAAGCAGTTGAAAACTCTGTGGCAAATTATTACTCTTATAGCTTCGTTCACTTTGTTTACTGTCAAAACCCATACCTCAGTCTTACCTCTTTATAACTGTTTTTTGCTTCTTCTTGCCTTATATCAGTTGATGCTGATGATAGGCTTGAGACAGATGATCCTCTGCTGAAAGTTTCTGTTGAGTGCTGAGGAGACCTAAGCGGTGACTTACAGTTGGAAAAAAACATATAAAAATCAATCAAACAAACAAACAACCATAAAAAGTTAAATATCATATAAAGGAGGTTAAGCATAGGCAAGAAACAATTTAACAACTTGCATGGGCTGTTACCTCAGAAGCACTCTGTCCTCTTTCAAATGTTAGGTAGTTTACTTCCATCAACGACAAAATCTGCACAAAAATATTAGAGAGAACCAATGTAACTCCACTTATAGGGGAATCTACTGACTGAAACACAAATTAGCTGACAACCTAATAATTAGTGACAGAATATAACTGAGCAGATTAGAAGTACCCATTAACAAGTTCATACTCTATCCCACAGAGGGTATTCCTGCTGCTGGAGTTAAAATGGGACCTTTTTTCCTCAGAGTAAAACACACATTTTCTCTTTAATAGTGAAACCCCCTTCGCAATGGAACATCTCCACCTCTGTGGTGTTGCATCAGAAGGAAATCAGGCTGGAAGACACAGAGGAATACCTTGGAATTCAATGCACACTGCAGGGAAGTCTCTTTCATGCGGTTCTGAATTTCTGGGTTTGCCCCATTTTGCAAGAGCACTTCAATGATCCCTTGATAGCCCCAGCGAGCAGCGATGTGGAGAGGAGTGTCTCCCTTCTCATTGCCAACATCCAGTCTGCAGGAATGCACATCATAGTACACCAAAGCCTTGACACACTGGGAAGAAAAGGAAAGCTATCAATAAATTATAGTGTTGTGTCTCAGTTCAGACAACAGGCACAATCCTAAAAGGTTTGTTTTTATTGCTGCTTATGTAACCCATTACCTAAAGAGAAGGTTTTAGTGGTTCAGTGTCATTAAATAAGGAGTTAAACAACTACATTGCGAAGCACTGCTATCTTTAATGTGAAGTCATATTAAAAATTGCTGTGAACTACCAAATAAAGTCCTCATTTAGAGCATTAAACAATTTAGCCTTCAAATATTTTTATTTACTTTTAAAAATATGTAAGTTTAGTGCTGATTTGCATCAGTTTAATTCCATTGCATTAGAATGCCCATTTGGTTTGTTACAAAACAATTACTTACATCCTCATGACCATAAGTGCAGGCTAAATGAAGTGGAGTATTTCCATTATTGTCCTGAACATCAGTACTTGCCTTGTAGTGCAATAAGAGCAGCTTAAAAGAAAAACAAAAGTAGACATTTAAGTAGCTAAAAAATTAATGTACAAACAATTATTGCTCTGCAGATTCCTTTAGGGTTCTGGCATGATGATGAAGCACTTCATGAGACATTAGCTCTGCCTCCCATTTCAGACACCACCCTCTTGGCATTGCAGCACTGCTTGTGCCCTACCCTGAGAATCAAAAAGTCTCTTATTACATATTCAGAATTTTAATTGAAAAAATTGAATTCTGTACTGCAGCAAACACTGCAGTATATTCACTACATCATCTACCTCACATTTCAAGAGCCTATGCAAGTGAAGACACAACTTTATTTCAAAAATGCTAACTGAAAATATCACATATATTAAATTCAAGTAGACAATAATTACTGTAGTTACACAGTCTATCTTAAACACAGTGTGAAGCATTTAACTCAGCCCAGTGACTGCAGTGGTTGTTCTGTCTCAAGCAAGAGCAGAGATGCTCTCCATTTGTATTATGTATTGGACATCTGTGTTAATAAAGTGGATGAATTATTAGGTATGCAGAGCTGCCAGCTGGTTATTTCCAATGGCTGAAAACCTTGCACTAGAAGAAGAAATAAACTATCTTGGAGACTACAATGATGAAAGATCCTCCATTCTGACAGCTTACACAGTTCTGGTAGAAGTTCCCCAGAAGATCTAAATGACAGTAACAGTAGAAGAGCTTAGTAAGAGGCATGTATTTATTATTTAGGTTAGGTGTTGTGCTTACTGTAACATTCTGATATCCCTTCTGACAGGCGAGGTGAAGGGGAGTTGAACCGTGGTAATCTGTGGCATTGACAATGGCTCCTTTGGCTACCAGTAAATCCACTAATGAAGTTTGACCTTGGAAAATAAGCATTCAAAGAAAGGTGTAAACTTTGCACACTGCTACTTTTCAAATTCAAACAGTGACTATAAACCAAGATACCCTGCATTTCTGCACACTATGTTTCCATATACTGCATATTCACAGCCTTGGTATTTGGGGTTTTTTGTGGCAGATATTTCAATGTCAAAGCTCCATAAAATAACCTCCAGCTAAAAGCAAGCTATATTTGTATCCTACAAGTAATAAAAGAAAATATTTGGATTAAATATAATAAAAAAGGAAATTATAAATATGAAACCACCCACTAAGAAAATAATAGAGCTTCTAATAAAAGGAAAATTATTTGCATAATGAACATTACAATGCAGGTGTCACAGATCTACAATGCACAGCCAGCTGCAGGAAAGAGAAAAGTTGTTTCTCAATCTGCCAGTCCTTTAAAAAAAGACTGACTTCTAAGGATATATCTTTATTTTTTCAAAGCTGAAGAAAGCACCACTGTGGTAACCACTATGGCAAAAGTAGAGTCAACAACCAAAGATTAACTCAGCTATAAGAAACTGAGCTTAAAAGAATATACAACAACTTCAGTCTGTGCTCAGATAGAAACAGCAAAGTTTCAACAGCAAAAAAGCAATAAAACAACTTAATGCAGAATTCCAACTTCAATAAAAGATGGGAAACAGGCTGACATAAAGACACGAAAGCAAAAGGAGGAGGAAACACCAGTGAAGCCCACTCACCACAAATAGCAGCTATATGAAGCGGAGTGTATCCCCGGTCATCTCGGGAAAAGGGGGTGATAATGGAAGGGTCATTCAGTTTCCTTTAAAACACAATGTTTGAAAGCAGCTTAATTATCCAGGTGGTGATAGGAAGGAGGAGAGAAAGGGAAAAGCTACCAAGAATGGCAAAAAACTTTTTATCCTTTTACATTGACAAATTATTCCATACAGAACTTTACATTTTGTTAAGAGAAGTGTGTTAGTCCCAGATCTGTAAGTTTGATTCAAGAGCAGAAGCACCATGTTTACCAAAGCCCACATAGGCTCCATCACAGAAGGGTGGGTTCCAAAGGATTCTGTATGTTCCCAATATTTCTTCTGTTTTTCAAACCACACACACCCACATGCTCTCTACTATATCCCAAAGTGCACCCAAATTCCTCTAGAACCAAAAGCAGCATACTTCCTGAAGCAAATCTTAGATAAAGGCTTCTACACAGCTCTGTCTGCATTTGTGGGGTGCTCACCCAGAAACCAGCTTCTCGCATTTGTCACAGTAACACAGCGGGTGACACATTTTCTGTACAGTGTCCTTATCACTGTCACCTTGACTTAGCAGCCGCTCCACTTCCTCCTGATCACCTGAAGCAATATGCTACAAAAAAAACCAGGAGAAAATGAGAAACCAATATAAAAGACCTCCTTTTAAGACAAAAAAGCCAAGAGTAATTTACTGAAGCACAAAATGAAAGGAATCGATTATGAAAGACGTAGTCAAGCATTAGAAAGCAGAAATGAACAATGTCACAGCACAAAACCCCCTAATGGGCATTCAGTATTAAAAAGAAACTGTTCTTGGCTTACTTCACTTTCTATAAAAAAATTAAAACAATTCCTATTGTCCTCTTTAGACTCAATCATGAAATTGAGCTCCCTCTGTGCAAAGACGTGTCTATAAAATTACTAAGTCTCCAGCCATAAGCTGTGAACACATATAATTAGGAGCTCTGCTTTGTGTCCTTGTATAGGCAAAATTCTTTTAGAATGACAGTATGAGATTAACAGATAATATGAAGTAGCTGTCAGGTGACTAAATTTAAATTATTTCCAAAAACTCTTCCAATTTCAAGTACTAAAAGCTGTGAGACACAAGCAGTATCACATCTGTGATTTAAATGGGCCACACAATACCAACAGCAGTAGCATTTCATCCTTATTTGCTTCTATATTTCATATAACATGTACTGAAATTCATAAGATTATATTATGTTAGCAAGGCTTTGGCACAGAAATGTACTCAATTGAAAAGACAGAGTAGATTTTAGCATCTACTAAAACACATTTCACAGTACTAATGTAATTAAGCCTTCATTACTTTCCAGAAAACTTCAGAAAAGGAGGCATATAAATTTGAAATGTGCAAATACATACATATTCTGCCATAAGAGTTATTAACCTTAAACAAGCAGTCTATTGGTGCAGCAGACATCTGGGACAACAAGTTCATCCTTTGTCTTAAGAGCAGCTTGTCACACAGACTCTCAGATTCCTGAAAATAAAACAGACAGATTGATTATATATATAGTCATCTACAGGCAAAAGTGCAGAACCCTAACAGTGGAATTAACTTTAAAGAATACTAAACACTTATTTACTGTGTATGAATTATCAGACACAAGTGAAATATGAATCCATTTCACTTTTAAGATTTTGAGCCATAAAAGACTGGGCACCCATAGAAATAATAAGTAGATGTTCCCCAGAAAATTCATTTACTGAAATTCACTGTTAATTAAAATTAATGGTGGTACCATCTAAAAAAGAGCACAGCAAAACTAGAAAATATGTATCAAAGACAGAATGAACTGTAAGAGGTACAACACAGCTTTCTCAAGAGGAGAAATTAAGGCAAATTCACATAAAACACATCTACCGATGGCCACTATAAAGATGACCCAGATACAACACTGACTCAAAGAATTCTGAACGCTCTGCTGCTGGCTGAAAAATAGAAGATTGCACCAGGCAAAGCATTGCTCTGCAGCAGATCCATCTGTGTAGATTTCCTACTTGGTTTGAGCTAAGCAGATACAGCTGCAAGCCTTGCATCAGCACTTAGAGACAGCTGAAGAGACACTTCAGGAAGCACTAAAGAATATAAATGCCTCCAATGCCAGGTGAAAATTATTAAGTGGAGTTAGATTTAGAGACAGCAGCACTGACCCTCCCATTAAATAAAACAAAAACCTAAGGAAAACACTTTCTAAGAATGCAAATGGAAACTTTTGCATGTGGTTGGTTCTGATCCACAGCTGCTTATGGTTGGCAGTGGTGCTGTTGTAGGATAATGGCTCTCCAGAAATGGAAAGACTTCAGCATCCATGAAACAGAAAACCACTGCATTAAAGACACACACCCATGTATCAGGCAAACTTCAACAGTTTAGGATCTGGGCTATGGCTTTCGCAATTAAAGTCTGTCAAGACCAGATGTAAATGAGTAAAACCAGCCTGACTCCACTCTTACATTAGTAAGTCAGCATGAAATTTGAGCCCCATAAACTGCAAATAAACAACATCAGTTGATTCAGACTTTCTAGAAATTAAGACTATTCATGTTTCAAAATCAACACAGATGCCTTTCATAAAGCTGTCCACAAAACCCTTAAGAGTTCAGCAAATAAGGTCATTAAAAACATGCTTGTGAGATCTGGAGATGAAAGCTCTTCTCTGTACTTCACAGGATTTAGATACACGAAGGTGACAAATATTCACCAATCTTTTCAAATCTCTGTACTTTAGCTAACAATACCCAAGCATATCTTCTCAGAATTACAAGACATACAACACTAGTCTCCTTGGATAGAATCTTCACTAGGAACAGGAATAACTTCCCTAAGACATATCTGATCAAAAATTTAACTGCTAGTACAAGTTCCTAATGTCTAATCAGAATTTCTAGTGTAGATGCTCACAGACAGCTTTATACTTGCATTGTGGAGAATCTAAGCAACCATTAGCAAGAACTAATGTAGTTTTAGAACTGCTCCTTCCACAGTGTGTGTCTTCAAGAGAAGTGTTCTCCAACTGGAATCATTATTTTAAGAGAGTCACATGAGACAGCAACCCTAATGTAGCAGTATTATATATTTATTCTACAAATCAGAATAAAAAGAGCCCAGGTGAAACCATGTATCTTTAATAGTGAAATATGGAATGATGAGAATAAGATATTGACTGAAGGATTAAGCAAGTTTGGGCCTTCAAAGTCAGAAATTACTTACAGCCCAAGAACTTTTATTTCTTTTAAAAAGAGATTGCTTGGAGTGAGACTTTCAAGTATTTTAAGAGTATGTTGTTTAGAAAATACACACCCAAACATTAATGACCTTTTTTATCTAATACAACAGTGCATAGAAAAAGAAAGTATTTATACTTATGAGAGTGTACCTTTGTAATGATCTACCCCAAGTGATTCTCGCACATTACAACTGAGGAATTGGAGGAAACTCAGGTGGCAGAAACCAAGAAAGGAACTCTTGAACACTAACTAAGGCTAATAAAGTGTTTGGTGAGGAGGGGAAGCAGGGATCATTTCCCCATCTCAAGCTCTTCCCACACATGAAACAAAATGCTGCCTATTCCCTCATGGCTGGCTCTGACTCCCTGTTTCCTTATACACCTCACTTGAACCCTCTGAGCCTCAGAGCCTTACTACACCGTAGCTGTGCATAGGAATGAGCTAGTATCCAGCACTTATTAACAGGAATTCTACTTGAGTCATGTTGACAACTCAGAAATTAAAATTGACTCTCTCATGCTTTACAGGCTCCTCTCTTCCCCACAAAGTGTCTCACAAGGACTTGCATGACCTTGGGTGGAGGGATTTGGCAAGAATGTCCTTCGTGCAATTCACTTACTGACAGGAGGGTGAGAATGTGCCCATTATCCCTCAGGGTACATTAGTCCCCTCCTGAGTTTCTTTCTGGAGTAATCTTCATTAGGGATTGGACAGCAGCATTACTCAGCTGCCAGAAGCTCCATCTGAAGCCAGCTATAAAATTAAGCATAACCACATAAGGGGCTGAATGAAGCCCTAGGGCACAACAATGCTCCGGCTCATTTCAATCCCACACCCACTTCCAGCACAATCTGGAGAAGGAAATCATAGGGCAGCAAGATGACAGCTGCTGCTGCTCCAAAGTTCATCCCCTTTACCAGAGATGAAAGCAAATATCTCAACTGGCAACTTTCTGAAGTGAGAACTATGCTCCTCCACCTTCCTCACTATTCTTTTTCCACTTCAGTCTCTTTTCATAGTGTGCCACCTTCTCCTGCCCAGGAGAAAAGGGTGGTCTGGCTGTTTCCTTTCCAGCTGTGTTAAGGGCAAGTTGTCCCTCACTTTATCCTCAGGGTTCTGCTGCCTTCCAGCCAGGCTGACTCCAAGGAAAGGCAATGCAAGAGGACTTTGTGTTACACATTCACCCTAAAGAGATAAAGTTCTCTAGGTCTGGAGCTGATCCAGCTGAAGTATGGGCAGAAAGACTAATGGCTTGCTCTTCTCATGGTGCAGACACTGAATTCCTCATTTAGACTTCTCAAATATATAGTTTATCTTTTAAGACAGGAGCCTCCCAAAGAACTATATTACCTTAATGGAAGTGGCACTTAAGTTACAACATTTGAATGCAATCCCAGCATAAAAGCTGCTATCCTTAACTACACCAAGACAGATAGGATGAGGCATTTAATAGGAAATGGTCTTTATTCTAGAAATGCAAGAGCAGTATATTCTATCATAGTTTGCTGGCATTGTTGTAGAAGACAATTCTACTTTGGTTTCAATTTTCTTTCAGAGCCCCAGCATTGCTCTTTGTATATTGATTGTGAATGACATCCAAGTGACTGCAGGAATTAAAGTCACATAGCACGTTGTTTCTTTTAAACTAAGATTTTTATTTTTTTTTTAATTTAATTCAATTACAGGCAAGAAACACCACTCTTTTTTTGCACAATATGAAAGTGTTGGTTACTTTTTTGGGTTTTTTTTTTTTTGAGTGTACAAAACAAACTTGCACAAGTTCATGGAAAAATCCCAGAAAAAGACAAAACCAAAAATAGCAAGAGGCCAAAATGTTGCAATAAGTGCTCCTTAAGACTGTGCCCCAGGTTGTCCCATCCCGAGCCCTGCACACTGAACCATTGTTCTGGCCCCTGCAGTTAGACTCCAGGGCTTTGCAGTTGGGCAGACTGAGACACATTGAATTCACACTGGTTCCACGTTCACTCCTTTTGATGTCCACATCAGCTCAGGAAAACCTAGTTTTACAATAGTAGAAAATTTTACAGGAGTGGTAAGATTAGATTTCTTGACTAAAAATCTACAAAATTCTTAAATTATAGAAGTCTCTAAAGTCACATCAGCAGCACCCTTGACTGGCCTGCAGGGATGTGACCAGATTGACAGCAGGTCTAGTTGCCCAGTAGGAAATCTCTCATGCATCCACAGATTTCCTGCCCCTGCTAGGTCAGAGATCCCAAGAGCCACACTGACCTTCAAACAGCACCTTATCACAGCCCTGCATCCCCCTTCAATGAGCCATCAACTCAGTGCAGCACTGTAACCCACACTGCAAACACATGGAATTCTTCCAGTATGAAGATTTACTGAATAATTCTAAATTACACTGCTATCTCCAGTCTGCTAACACAGCTAAGCTTTTATAATTACACAAAAATTTAAGCTGTGCCTGCTCCCAAGTACTGCACTGCTTTCACAATCATGGTAGAGTACAAACAGGAGATAAACATACTGGAGACTCAGCTGTAGAAAATGGTGCTGTCATTTTTCCTCTAACCATACACAGAGGCAGATTTGACATTTAAGTACTTCCTCAAGAAGCATGCAATGAACAAAAATATTGGCACATAGTTAGGACTTCATTCTAATAAATTAGGTAAATTTAGCCTTTGCTTCAGGTAGTTACCTCTACTCATTTTTTTAAGCGAAAAAAAGGAAATTCTTATGCTAGTTATTTGTATCCTCTGGCTGGATTTGCACCCACAATGGTACAACAAGCAGGCATTTGACAGAGTTTAAGAGCAGCTTACTGTTGATCTGTCAGAGAGGTTGCCTTGCCGGATGTATTCTATTGCAGCCTCAATGGAGGTCAGGCAGTACCCCAGCTCATCCTTCACTGAGCTGCAGAGCCTGAAGTTCTTTATGTAACTCAAGTTGGCCATCCTGGGAAGAAAGAAGTTAAGTTATGAACCACTGAAACTAAGACACTAGCATGGCATATTGCAGCTCATCTTAGGCAATCCAGGCAGATAAAAGGGTGAGTTGGGAAAAAGCTTTTAAAAGCCTGTTAGGCCAGCAATATGGCTGTTCTGTGCTTGTAGAGTGATCAGATCTCTACTAATCTCTTATATATTCAATGAAGAGTTATCAATTGGACAGAAGGAATAGAAGGATGAGATAAGGACAATAATGGGAGATCAACATCTTTGAAGTGAGTGAAGCAGTGTTTCCAGCACCATAAGCACCACAGTGGACAGCTACAAGTTAAAGGCCAAATGCTAATCTCACATATCCAGGACAGAACAGAACTGAGAATCAGTTTGGGTACAGCTGGAAGGTTTAGATAGACTTTTACTGAAAATGAGGAGACACAATGGCACAAGCTAGCAGGAAGTAATTAAACATTCACATCTAGATTCTGTGTAAGAAATGCACCAAATTTTGATAAAAATGCACAGAGGTGTCACAGCTCCCAACATAGATGAAAGAGAACCACTCAGTTAAGGCTGTATTGACACACAGATTTGGTTGAGAGATGGCCTCCCACTACAACTTTTTTCTAGGCTGAGAATCAAAACAAAGGCACATTCCTGATAACTCCTTCATTTAAGTTACACGTATAACACAGCTTTGCTATTCATCCTGTAAAATATTTTCTGCATTTCAACAGGCCCTCTTAGACATTCAGTAAGTTGTAACTGTATGTTCAGAAACATTTGGCCCTACAGCAGCACTACACAAGATGGTAGGAAGGAGTTCTGTATAGCTAAAACAGTTACATACCAGTTTGGGATTTCTGTTTTTACAAGCAGATACAGCAACACAGAGAGGAGATCATCTGCACACATGGTTTCCATGTTAACTAAAAAAACCAATTTATATTTAGTATTAGTCATGTAACAGCTCAAATCAAGAGCAATAACTCTATAAAGTTCTGCCTCTTAAGACTAAGGGGCAGCTCTTAGTAGAGAATGCATGGAGAATCCAGGGCAGGCATCCAAATGTTCTCAATCTCTCACTGAAATAGTCTGCCAGGAGCCAACACACAGTTGCAGTTTGTGCAGTACACACTGCTATATTTGACTAGCATCTCTCCCTTCCCATGCAGCAAGAGCCAGGGCAGTAGCTCAAGATTTCTGAAATTCTTGAGGGCAAACACTAGTCTCAAAGTTGGCATATTTTTCCACAAGCCAGCAGTCTTCCTAGAGAAAAGAAGGGATGAAGTAGGGAAAGCATAAGTTCACTGTGCTACGCTATTTGTCTTGTAGAAGTAGAAGTATCTTGTCTTTTCAAGCTAGATAAAGTAAGTGCCAGGTTAAGGGACTGTGCTTTTGTATCACAGAATCTGCAATCCACAGCAGCACCTTTGTTTGGCCCCAGCCATCTTTTGCATTTTGCAGAAGATGCATCTCAAGAGTTATCAATTTCAAGCTGTCAAGGGGAGCACGGACAAATACACAAGAAGGATTCGGCAGCAATCTCCAGTGTTTCAAATGGATCACCCTCAGGGTCCTGGCAGATGTGAACTTCCTACATGTCCAAGCTAAAACATACACAAGCTCACCCAGTGCCCCACCTCAGCCCACAGGAACCAGTGCTGACACATCTACCTTTCCCTTCTGCTCTGTTCAGAGACCTTAGAGACTCCAGCTCAACTGTGTTTGATCCCCAAGAGCTCTCCAAACAGTTGTTTATACACTGAAGTGCTTTGTGTGTGCTGTTTAAGTTGAAAATTATGAATTGACTAATTACTGACCTCTTTGGCTTGGAGACTGCATAATAATTTGTACAACTTTACGCAGACAAAGTAGCTTCTGTTGGGGGGAAGTGCATTTGTTCAATTGACCCAGTTCCCGCTTTGCACGTGGTATATTAAAACTACAAAATAATTAGAAAGGAATGATTAGCATACAGAGTTCCTCTGCAGGATCTCCAAAGCCCAAGTTTTAACTTATTCAGAGCTGAATTGAAGAATGGTTCCAAAATATTCCCACTTCTACTCCAAGTGCACCTGCATTTCTGTAGCCCATAGATGGCTTAAAAACAAAAAAAAGTAATCAACCATCAAGGCAAAGATTGTCCTCATATGACACTTGCAAAGCTTTGACTCTACATCTCAAATGAAAGTATAAAAAATCTTGCTAGTGTCTTAAGGAAAACACTTTTTGGCTGGCATTATCCTATTTCAAACAGGATTTCAGTGACTCTTCAAGAACCCACAGTCATCTCCCTCACCTGAACTCGGGCTTCACTCCAATGTCTTTTTGCTGCAGGTCTTGAAGGCTCCTCGTGATTTTATTAAAATCAGCATCCTAATTAATAGAAAGGCAACAGGTTTTTTAAATGCCTTAGATAAACATCACTAGTATGGAGCAATCAAGGAAACTTACCTCACTTGCCTCAATCGTCCCCACATATTTGAAGACTAGGTCATAAATAGCATGATGGATATACATCTGTAGGAAAAAAAAAGTATTTTAGGCATGAAAAGGAGAATTAAAAACAGCTTGCTATTTATTTTCCTTCATTTCAGATGCTTACTTCAACTGCTTGTTTGATCAGATTCATCTGCTCTTCTTGCTTTGCAAGCATCTTCTAGAAAAGCAAAGCCATAAACAGCAAGAGAAAGTCAGATAATTTATTGCTTAAGTAACACTGTGCTATGTATTTAGGGGAGTAAGTCTTTACCAAGTGCGAATCTCTCAAAAGATGCTGCAGACATTTGGTATAAAGTGCATTGACAGAATCCTAGGAGAGAGAAAAGATAAAAACCATCAGATTCAGGTTAATGGGACTTGAAGAAACAAAGCTTAAATAAGTAATGTAAGTCTTCCCTGTCTCGAAAGTGTACAGTTTGGTAAGAGTTTTAGCAATAATAATTGCATTTACTAAACAGTTGAGATAGTGAAATTCTTAAATGTGAATTACCACTTCTCCCTCCTCCCCTTTCACAACTCTAGGCTACTCTGACACAGAAATGCTCAGTAAGGCAAAGATAACAGCACCAGTGAGGCTAATTATATTTAGCAAATTAGACATCAGGAAGGAAGATACTGACTATGTAGTGGCGGAGGCTTTTCCTTTCATGTTCTTTAAATGTTCTATAGAAAGATCCTATGTATTTATCAAATCTCTCACAGTGCCTTCCCAAGAACTCTCTAACATCTTCAATGTTTTTAAGAGAATAGGAGTTTGATGAAGCTGTAGATTCACCTAAAATAAAAGCCAAGAATTAACACATAGACTTAATATATGTATGCAGGGTAAAATACATTTTGTCCTTACATATACAGCCAGCTCATGTGCACTGAAACATGAACTCAGCTCACTGCAGCTTTAACTAGAGGTATTGCCTTTAATTAAAAGACTTCAATGCATCACATTTGAGCAGGTTCCCCTGCTTTTTATGTCAAGTGTTTATTTGGAATAGCTAAATCAGATTTCACTTATTTTTTACACTGGGATAATTTATTACCACATGCACTCAGCTTATGAGTTGTGTAAGTCAAGTTTGAAAGCAGAAGAAAAGCATCTTACAGTGTTGACAGAGTGACCATGCAGGAAGTCAGGGTGCTTTAAGTGAACTGCAAAAATCCCATCATGAACTTTTACATAAGCTATTCTTTATTTAGACACGCTTTCTCTGAATGGGAGAGCAAAGTTAAATGAAGAAACACTAAAGCAAAGACACTTTTCTTCTGAATAAAACAACTGAAACCCTCAATGAGAAATGATGCTGTTTTTCCAAAAATTATTTCTAGGCAAATCTTTCATCTTCAGCCAAAGGCAGGCAGCTAATAAGAAGCTTAAATAATTATTTTCAAATTATTTTTGAAATTAGAAAATCCTACACTTCTGAAAGACTGTGATATGACTATATTCAGTAATGGCCATAAAGAATATCACATGAATAATTTTTAAGATCTACATTAACACTTACAGAATTTAAGGCTATATGAATGGCAGCTGGTTTTTTTAAAGCCTTCCATACTTCCCTCACAGTACTACTTTCACACAACACTAGTACTACTTCTCTTTGCATTCACTTGTTTCAAATATTCTTATTTATTTAGGAAGACTAATGTTTTTACTTCAGAAAAAGCTGAAGCTTCTAAGCTTCTTAAGGAGCGTCTGTTCTAAATTAGTAAACACAGATTGTTATACAAGTTCACAAGAACATGCTGTTAACATTCACAGTATTGACTGTAGTCTTGAAAAGAGTGTTACAGCCTTCAGGAGCACTTTCAGTGCAGGACAAAAATTGAGACATTCAATTTCATAAGTTGGGCCACCATCAGGAGGTTGCTACCTAACTCCGCCACCCAATCTCTATCCCTCTATAAAGTGGTCATGAAAGCATGTACCTCTCCAGCTATCTGTGCATCCACCTTGCATCTCAAGACACACATGATCACATTTAGGATTAAATCCCTTTTTTAAGCAGTCAGCACTAAACTGAGTATTCCACAGATAATTCTTAATTCTACAGGATTTATATCCTAGTCTCAGCACTAGTTTTGCTGGGAGCAACTTGGTGTTTCTCTGCAGCAGCACACCAATATTTGGCCCAGCAAATTCATAAATGCCAATGGCTTTTAACCAAGCCAACACTTTCCAGAATGAACACATTTATTAAGCACATCAAACACCAATTTGTTCACTGTGCAAAGGCAGCCACCAAACTGACACCAATACATACTTGAGCTTTCTGTTTTTTCCAGAGGATGAGCTATGCACAATATACTAAAGCTTTCTTCTTTTTCATTGTAAAAGGTTTCCTCAAAGAGAACAGGTACAGAGAGAGTGCAATTGAAACCAGCTCCTAGAATGATGAGGTTTCCTTGTATGAAGATCTCCTGAAACAACACAGAGCAGATCAGGTATGAAACTCTGCCAGAAAAAATGGTTCTCTGGCTTCTGCCTCACACAGTTACATTTCCAAGGGGGAGAAGAGAAACTTGCAAGGCAAGAAAGAGCCAAACTGGGGAAATTTCACATTTTCATGCTGTGTTGACACTGAAACAAAGGCTCCTTCATTGTGCAGTAGCTGGCTGAACCTTGCTTACAGCCACTTCTTTTACAAGTCTACTGCTGGATGAGGTTTCAGACAATAACCAAGGTCTTGTTTGCAGATTTTAGAGAACTTTTAGTAGAAAGGAAATTTAAAAAACCCAACAGCTTAAGATCAGTACTTAATCCCAGTCTCAGAAAAATACCCCACACCTTGTGTGTATTTTTCACATCTGGGTTTTCTTTTCCCAGCAACTCCAGTGAGGACATCTGGAGCAGGAAAAACCTGATGACAGCCTGCAAACTATCTCTAATGTAAGCTGTATACCCTAGCTGTCAGACTGTACTGCAAAATTACAAATGAAAAACCTGGGATTTTATGCAGTGTCAGCCCTACTTGCCTTGTCTGTAACCATTAGTTCACACAATCAGTCAGCAGCAGCAGTGAATCATTTACTGGAGTGTCCCCAAGCTACATTCAGATATCAAACAGAAATACCTTTCCATTTAAGGTTTGAAAATTTTCTTCCAGTGGCTTCAGAACATAAGATTCAAACTGGCAGGTAGAAAGACTGTTGCTTGAAAGGCTTCCTTTGCATGGAACTAGCACCTAAAAAAAGTTAAATCATGCTTAAGAGAGAAATGCTGTGTATTGCCAGCTATATATCAATACCTTTTGTCCTTACGAGGCAAGCAATTAAATTGGGCTTTTAAATATTTACTGTAAACATACAGGAATTATAGGTGCTTTTATTTAAAAAAGGAGAGGTTATCACTAGACACACAGTCTGATAATTAACCCAGAAATTTCACTTAGTAACTTATCTGAAAAAAGCCTACAGATGCAACTGAAGCAAACAGCACTAAGTAAATTAAATCTTTAATTACGTGGCACCAGACACAAATAACTTAAAATTACAACAGACGACTTAAAATAAAACAGCTAATAAAAAAGTGAAGTTTATATTAAAACTCAAAAATCCATCAGAAAGAAAAAGATCTAAGATAAATATCTTGGGTTTAGACTAACAGATGGGCAATTTGGGACAAATTCTTAATTAGAAAGAAACAAATTTTATCATCAGGTGACAACCTCCATGTTTAATGGAGTCTCTATGCACTTAATTGTGAATTAAAATTAATTGCAAAATACTCAGATTAGTAAATATTAAGGACTGGAGTTTTTATTCCAGGTCAGTTTAATAGCTTTATTGTGCTGCGTAAAATGCTGTCAAATGAGTAACTGCTTGTCCACCAGGCATCTCAAAAGGTCAATCCCATTGAAGTTATAAACTTGTGAGAGAATATGTAACTTCAGCTCACAGAAAAGAAAATAAGTTTCCTGTAGAGTTTAGAAACACCAACCCTAGCTTTTTACTACCTTGCAATATATCAAGAGGTCCATATTAATAAGTAACGTGCAACTTCAACTAAAAATTGTTCTGCTTCATTTCTAAGTTTTGTAGGCTTGAAATAATCTTTACATGTTTCATAGCAGACATGTGATATAAATTCAAGTAGCTACTATTTACTAAGCAGCTTTTAAATATTACTTTTTCATACTTACAATACCATGGAGTTCTGCAACTTTGCTGCATAGATCAGGACGTCGCTTCTGAATGGCCAAATAAAAGGGATTTTTCAAGATGTCTTCATCATACATAGCCATATGGACTTCAGATATTCCAAAGAGATGTTCTAAAATACATATGGAGAATGGTTGATGTAACACACTTGTATCCATTAAAACATAATATTTGGGAATGCCTAGGGGCAGTTTGATTCTCCTCATCCAAACAGAAAAAGTAATTTCAGGTCTTGATGTAAGTAGCCAATGGCACTGCTTAATTAACTACAGTTACCTAGAAGTTATTCAGACAGAATATTTTTCATGATTATACATTTCTAATCACACAGTTATTCTCAATGTTTCCTTAGGCCTTCCAGATGTTGGGGTCTAACTGAATATTAAAGAAAAGTTAAGATCAAAATTATCACCACTTTGATATACAAACTAACTTCTCTTGCTGATATCTAAAGTCAAGAGACAAATTACCAGCTTTTCCACAGCAGATTCTACTGCACCATGGGACATGGATGCTTTTGCACTGTGCTCATGTAAGTCTTAAAACTCACCTGTAAAAGGATTACTCACACACACCAATGAGACACCCAGACAGTGTAACAGAAACCCCTGTGTAAGGCAATCCTCAACTTTCCAGGGAGGTACACGAAGGAGATATGAATATCCGTGACATAATTAAAAAGCCACCGTGAAATTTATCATAATTTGTGGTCATCTCTACTCCCATGAAAAAAGTTTCAGATTTGAGGTCAGGCTGCTAAGAAACATTTGGCTAAACAGAGCAAAGGAGCAACTGGAGAGTCAAAGTCCAGCCTGTAAACATTGGAAATGCTATCACTAGGTGCCACAGTGCCCTGGAGAAGATGATCCCTAAGGAATCAGACCTTCACCTACTTGCTTCCTCAATTCCAATTCTCTGTAACACATCATACACAAGGGCAGAAAAAACTCTAAAAGGGTCCTCCTGGAATAATTTCAGAATTATTTTTTTAAACAAGAATAGAGATTAACAGGCATACAAATGCTTAAGTAACAAGCTTATTCTATCTATCCCCTCATGCAGGTTTCCTTAGTACTCAACAGAAGTTGTATGATTTCAGCTGTATTTAGCAAGAAAGGGTGAGCACAGCTATAGACTTTAATTTGAGCACACCACCCTTACACAATCAGTATCCCCCCGTTTCCTCCAATGCAGAATTATTCCTAGCACATCATTTGCTCAGTGTGAGATCACTGTATGGCAGTTCAAGGGGGTGGAAAAACATACACCAATTTCCCATGGATTCCAGATAGCCTTTGAGTTTCAGCCATGCTATCAGCTCATCTACACCCTGACCAAGCTGGGCTCTGGTCCCTCCCCTGATCATGCACAAGCAGAGCTTCCTTAGGGAGTTGAACACAAACACAACCAGTTAAAGTACACGTAATTTCCACTATAAGGGTATCACCAGTTACCTACAGCTTGGACAACCCCAGTCTGAAACACTGAAGTCTGGCAGTGGCAGGTATGTGCCTTTAGCAGCTTTCCTGCACTGTTCCAGACTAAATGGTCCCTCTGCTTTCAAAGCATACAGTAACACCAAGAGCTTCTATGAAAGACTACTTAGCCAGTGCTCCCATACCAGCACAGCTATGCAGTTTGCTAACACAGTGAGGAAGAAAATGTTTGCTCATTGACACCTTCACAACACCAACCAAGTTGAGTAATTAGAGACTTTGAACCTAGAAAAAGTCCAGCTTAACATGTGCTCAACATGAGCCAACCATCTGCATTTGAAGCCCCAAAACCAACCATGTCCTGGGCTCATCCCCCTGCACAGGCAGCAGGTCAAGGGAGGGGAATATGTCCCTCTGCCCCGCTCAGGTGAGACCCCTCGGCAGAGCTGCCTCCAGGCCTGGGGTCTGAGCACAAGGACATGGAGCTGCTGCAGCAAGTCCAGAGGAGGGACACAAAGATGCTCCAAGGCCTGGAGGCCCTCTGCTCTAGAGACAGGCTGAGAGAGGTGGAGGGTTCAGCCTGGAGAAGAAAAGGCTCCAGGGTGACCTTATTGCACACTCCAGTACCTAAACGGGCTGCAGAGATACTTCAGACAAGGACCACAAGTGAGAGGACAAGGGAAAGAACTTCCCACTAAAAAAAGGTGGATTTGTCTTAAACATACAGAAGAAATTCTTCCCTGGGAGGGTGCTGAGGCCCTGGCACAGAAGCTGTGGCTGCCCCATCCCTGGAAGTGTCCAAGGCTAGGCTGGACAGCTCTGGCACAAAGTGTCCTTGCCCACAGCCAGGGGTGGAACGAAATGTGGTTCAAAGTGCCTTCCAACCCAGGGCAACCAATTCTATAATCCCTGATCTGTCCTACCACAATGTCTGGGTAAACAGGATGATCACCAGTAATTCCACCAGATGATTACTATACAGATCTCTTGGCAGGTAGCTGCAATCCAAGTCCAAGCTGTGGGCTCCTTCCTCAGCCAGTGCAGAGGGAAGAGAAGAGGTAGCACAAGCCCTGTGGCAGGTGTGCTGCAGGAGCACAGGTATCTCTGCTGATCCACACAACAGCAGGGCTGAGACACACCTTCACAGGCAGGACTAGTTAGCTGCAGAAAACCCTGGCTGCTGAACACCTGGCTAGGCCACAATTCCAAGTCTTAATGACAGCAGCTTGCAGTCCAAACATGACTCAGTGACAAATTAGTATATATAACTAAAAACAATTTAGTGTAAGTCAAGCACCAAGCAGGGCTGTATGAACATATACATGTAACCTGCAAAATAATTTGCCACAGCAGAATTTGAGAGTCCTACATGCTTTTTTTTTTTTGATGGCTTTGGATGTTCCTGTCCTCATCACAGCAGATAAACTGACTGGAGCAGAGACTGAAGTAAGAAAGGAAAAGGAGCCCTGTAAGCAGAATCCAATCCATGGAAGGCAGTGATGTTTATAACCAAGAAACTGCATGAAGCAGGCAATGATTTTTTTTCCCCACAGGTGGATCAAGCTTTCAGTGAAGGGTATTTTTTCCCACATCTAAGAAGTAGGCCTGAAGAAAACAGGCTCAGGTTACAGATCAGGAACACTTTCCAAAAGGAACAGGAAGCACATGGTTTAGATTGCTTGGCAAAGCTATCAAATCTCTCATGTTGTAAATCTCCAAGAACATGTCAGACAAACCTCCACTAGAGGTGACAGTGGACATAGCAAAGCTGGAAGGGTGGATGACATGGTCTTTTGAGACACTTTCCAGATCAAGATTTCATTAATGCAGTTGTCCCACTGAGGCAGTTTCATCTGCCTTAAGTTTGGTGAATTCATGTATCTGTCCAAGCAGCAGAGGATCTGACTGCTGAGATCCTCCCCAAGACAGCGATGGAGAAGCTGTTAACACACCACACACTGTCAGGGGAAAAGGCATATTGACACAAGGAGGCAACCAAGCATCAGACTGCAGTGCTAAAACTGCAGAGCACAAATGTCTCCAACAGCTTTATTGCCAGTCTTTCAGCCCAATGAATCTTCAAGTCCAAAGACTTCTTTCCATAACAGGAGGGGAAGAGAACACATACCATAAATCCTCCTCATCATCAAAAAAACAAAAACAAAACAAAAAAACCCACAAAAAAATAAAAACAAAAAAAAACCCCTGAAATTTAAAGTAACACTTCATTCCCTGGCATAAAAAATTTATGTGAGGAGAAGAAGCTCCCACAGAAAGCCTGCTGTGTCTGACAGACCACTTAAAATACTATCTGCACCTGAAAAAACAGTATGAGCAATTGGAGTACTTTAAGAATCATTACTGATGGACCATCATAGGGAGCACTTGAAATTATAATCTTCAGTGTCCAGTTCATGAGTTACACACCACAAGTAACTTAGCGATGTGCAGCCACTGATTCTTTTACTACAAAACTGATAGGGCTGAATCACACTGGGAACTCCAGCAAGGAGTAAAAATAAACTGCATTCAAACATTGAATTCTGGTATTTCAGTTCTTGTAATGCACCTAAGGTGCCACAGAGGTGCTCCACCCCAGGAAGGAAGGTAAATTTCTAGTTCACAGGGGTGTTTGTGAGCAGAGCAGATGGGAGCTCTGCACTGCTCCCCACATGCATGTTCCTGCACAGCAGGAAACAACCCCCACTGGCCACACTGGTACTGTTTTGAGAATCACAACTCTCAATTTCCTTCCCTTTTCCTCTCCCTTACCCCTGCAGCTGTTCAATGTCTCGTTAGGCATTGGGTATCACATCTGATTAAAAGGAAGCCATGAGAAACAACAGGTGGAATACTTATTACCTAAAACAGTTTAGCTACTGTATTCACTTAGCCCTCCATCACTTTCCCATATTATTCTCCAGAGCGATAGAAGTGTGGATGTAGAAGCAATTTAAGTTATCAAAAAAAACCAAACCAAAGGAATTTAGTCTACAGATTCAAGAGAATACATTAAAGCTTCCCCAAAGCTCAGGCATTTTTGAGATTAAGTCAATTTCTTTCCACCCCAGAAGTTAAATGCATCTGAAAATATTGGCTAATGCATTGCTATAATTCTAGGAACACATTAGAATTCTCCATTAAGAGTCTGTTGGCAGAGCACAACATCCAGCTTCAACCTAATTTAACTTGGGAGTGACACAGACTTGCTCTTCTAGCTGCACCTTGGACAGCTTTAGCTTTACAGTGAAAACAGAAAATGCACAAAGCCTTATATACATTACCACAACTGATTAATGCCTAACAGAATGCTCATTAAAAACTATCATCAGCTATATTCAGTATGAAGTTTACCAAATTCTATCATGCTGAGCAGTAAAGCAATACTCAAGCACTAATGTTATATAAAAGGTTTAAACAGAATCACTTCAGTGTATGGCTTCATGCCTGTAAACACAAAAATAGCTCAAATTGCTGGAAGAACAGAAGCTAGCTGGAACAGACAATCTAATAAGCATTATGTTACAGTTTAAAAAAAACCTATAATCATAATCTTACAACAGACTAATCCTGTCTATATCAAAAGCGGAGTGATAATTCTAACAATATAATTATGGTACAAAGGACAGCTCAAGTGAAAAACATGGAACCTAAGCATGTCACTGTTTTCTGTAAA